TGTGGAGGGGCTCCGGGCAGGAGGGAGGGTCCCGTGGGCGGGGCGCGGCCCCTCCCTGCGGCTGCGTGTGCTGGCCGGGGGGAGGGTTAAATTAGAATCTAACTCGCTTTCCTCTCCCACTGGGGAAAGGAGTGGGAACAGACTTCTAAAAATAGCCTGGCCTGTCAAAACCGCTAACCGTCAGGCGGCGCGGGGCCGGGCTGCGTGGGAGGGCAAGCCGGCGCACAGCTGGGGCGCCCCCTGCACCCACCCTCAGGGCCTCTGTGACCCGTCTTCACCCCCCAAGGACCAGGGCTCCCCCGGGGCCCCCACTGCCCCTCGCCCGGCCCTGCACGTGCGGGTCCAGCCTGCGTCGAGGGCAGAGAGGTGGTCTCGAAGCTCCGTGTGCAGGGGACACACCTAGCCCCCTGCCCAGGGGCCTGCGAGCCCAGCCGGCCAAGGGCAGGCGGGGGAGGGGAGGGAGAGAGAGGGGAGCCCCCTGGCATGAGCATGGCGTCCATCCTTCTGTCCGGCCTCACTGGAGGCGCATCCCTGCTCAGTCCAGGACCCCACGGGGTTGCAGGCACCTTCCCCAGGCCCGGCAGCTCAGGGCAGGCTGACCCGGTCCCTCTCCTGTGGGCGGCCGGGCCTGTGGGCAGGGGTGCGCCACGCTGTGCTCTGAGGGGTGGGGGTGGGCTCGGCGCTCAGAAAGCCGCAGCCCCTGAGCCTGGGTAGTTCTCCTCGGCCCACCGGGACAGGAGAGAGATTCCTCTTCCCTCTAGCCAGAGCCCAGATGGGTTTGGGGGCCCAGAGGGGACATTCCACCTGGGCCCCGAGTTGACCCTCAGTGGCCTGGGGTGAGTCTGACGGTCACAGTCCAGGCAGGGGAGGAGAGAGCAAGCTTGGGGCCCGACGGGGCACCCCAAGTCAGGGAGAGAGAGGGTCAGCACCCAGGCCCAGACCAGGTTCCTCTGCTCAGACTGTGTCTCCGGGAAGGGACTTGCCCTCTCTGGGCCTTGGGTGTGAGTGTGTGAGTGTGTGTGTGTGTGTGTGTGTGTGTGTGTGTGTGTGTATGCACATGTGGCTGTGGGTGTGTGTGACTCGTGTGAATTTTGTTGTGGTATGTAAGTACTGTGTTAGCATGCGAGTGAGTCCACGGGTATCCATGTGTGCGTGTGTGTGTGCATTTGTGCACACGTGTCTGTGTCAGTAGGTGTGTTTGTGAGAATGTGTGCATGTGTGTGTCTGTCGGTGGCTGTGTGTGTTTGTATGAGTATGCACGCATGTACGTGTGAGTGTGCCTGCATGGGCATGGATGCGTGCATGTGTGCATGTGTGACTATTACCTGTTCGGGTGAACGTCCGTGACTAACCCATTAGCTGCTGCTGGGTGGCCATGGAGGCCGGGGGAGGCGGGTGCGCCACCATCCGGCCTGTTGGAGCCCGGGTGCGAGCTCGTGGCTCCCTGCGCTCCCAGTGGGCCCGTGCTTCCAGTCCAGTCCCAGGGCTTCTCCCCTAGGACAAGGTCCCCCTGGACAGCCCCTATCCTCGCCCCGGGACTCGCTGGCAGAGTCCCCAGGGTCACCCCCACCTGCTGGGGCAGTGGGGGCAGGTCTGGGGGCTGCGCAGGGCTGGGCAGGGATGTGCCGGCTTCCCACTCGGGGGGGCCCCTGCCGCGGCCGTCACGGGACCAGCGCCTCCACAGACTCTGGGAGCAGGAGGCGTCTGTGACAGCTGAGACCGGGTGGCGAGTTGCAGGGCAGGGAGGGGCGAGGGAGCAGGCCTCGTGAACGCAGCTCTCACACCTGGGCTGCCCGGAAAGGCCAGCTGCGGGGACGGGGGAGGGGCGGCGGGCCAGCCAGCCCCTGGGCTCTGCCGGGCCGTGCAGTGGCCCCTCCCTCGTCCAACAACCTGCGGATTCCTTCACTCACGCCTCTGCCACCGGTGCCTTCGTTCCCTTCCCTTCACGTTTCCGGTCGCCCCGCCAGTTCCAGCTGCCCACTCCATCCCAGTCACCCACTCACCCAGATGTGCCTTCATTTCCTGTCACTCACCCAGATGCCCCTTCACTCACGCCCATCGTTCACTGCAGCCCATCAAGTTGTCCGCTCAGATGCCCTCCATTCCCACTGCCACCCACCCATATATCCCATCATTCATTCATTCATTCATTCATTCCTGTTCACCTCGTGGCTCGTTCATCCAGATGTCCTTTCAGTCCCTCCTCCACTCGCTGTCGTTCATTCACCCAGACATCCATTCATTCTCTCCGTCGTTCATTCACCCAGATGTCTACTCCCCGCTCCCTGCCACCCGACAGACTGTTCCCTGGGCTCGCAGTCGCCCGCCCATTGTCCCTCTGTCCCAGAGTCTCACACATCCACACGCTCCCGTTTCACTCACGACTCGGCAAGGGCGCTGCTGGACTAGAGACAGGAAGGACCGCGTCCGCCACTCCCCCACCCTGGACACGGCTGGGATGGGGCAGGGTTGGGGCAGGGCTGGCCCACACCCTCGCTGGCATCTGCTCCGGTGCCAGAGAGTGAGGGAAAGGGCAGGTGAGGGGCACTGGGGTCCGAGCACCCAGGGGAGAGGGTGGGTCTCAGGGCTCGGGGAAAGGGTGTGGGGGTAAGGGGTGGGTGGGCAGGGGTGGGGTGAGAGCATGGGGGTGAGGGGGCAGCGTGTCGGGTGAGGAGAGCGTGTGGGGGTGGGGAGCATAGATGTGTGTGGACAGTGAGCCGTGGGACAGCTGCAGCTGGACCCAGGGGGGACGAAGCCCACTGTGGGCCCGGGGTGTGCGGAACAGGACACCAAGGGACGGGGTCCAGGCAGCCCGCAGAGCCCAGGCCCGGGCACAGGGGCTGCCACAGGCCCCAGCCCCACCCCCACAGGACCCCCTTCCTGCCTCCCAGGACCCCCACCTTGCCATCAGCTCTGCTCTCACCAACAGCTGCCGACGGCACAGGCAGGAGCCCACCAGCCATGCGCACAGGGGCCACCCACGGGCTCAGGGCCACCAGGGATATTCCAGGAAGTGCCTGGGGACCACTAGGAACACACACAGTGACACGCCCCTGGCCCTGCGGTGCCGAGGCCAAACACACACACAGCCTCACACTCTCACGCACAGTCTCACACTCTCACACATACAGCCTCAGACATGCACACTACACACAAACTCACACACGCACGCACGCACACACAGCCTCACAGACACAAACACACACAGTCTCACACTCTCACACAACAGCCTAAGGCACGTAAACTACACACAAACTCCCACACATGCGCACCCACAGCCTCACACTCTCTCACACACACAGCCTCACACGCTCACGCACACAGCCTGACACACACTACACACACACACACACACTAACACGCACTCACAAACACATTCACATACACACATACACTCACCAACACACATTCACACACACACACACTCAAACACACATTCACATACACACTCACATCTACACAAGCTCACATTCACACAAAGTTCACACATGCATTAACACACATACACAACACACATATTTACACAACACGCTCACGCACACACTCGTGCTCACAGAGACGCTCACATTCATTCACATTCACACAGACGTACACAGACCGACGCGCAGAGACACCTCAGTAAGCTCCAGGGGTACAGAACACCCAGCCTGTCCCAGGGCGTTAGAAACACGTGACCAGCTCAGAGCAGGGCGACCACGCTGTCCGGGCGCCGTGAGACTGCCGCGTGGGTGACGGCTGAGGCGCATCCCGGGAGAGCCGTGACCCAGGACCCAGTAGGCGGTAAGGAACGAGGGCGCCCCCCGAGGGGCTGAGACGACACAGCAGGCCGAGAGAAGAAGGGACGGGCCAGCTGCTCTTCGGGAGGGGAGAGAGACCCAATGCAGGAACACAGTCGCCAGCTCAGGCCGGCCTCTCCGCAGGAGGGGGCAGCTCTGTGGGGGGAGGGCCACACCCTCCATCCCTGTCCATCCCCACCGACCCTCGGCCTTCCCATCCACCACACGGTGCAGCGCGTCTGCCCTGCGCCTGCCAACATCCCAAGGAGGGCCCACGTCGCAGAGTGGTCCTTGTTGCGGGGGCCCCCGGCCGGGGCTGCTCGTCACGTCCACCAGCCTCGTCACGTCCCAGCCTGGAACAGCAGGTGACGTCGGCCACGTGGGAAGGACGCGGGAGCACAGACGGGCGAGGGCTCGAGGGGCACTCACACAGCGCGGGGCAGCAGGGCGGGCTGGGGCTCCGTCTGGCCCCAGCTTCTCTGGGGAGGTCAGACAGGTTCCCCGAGGGACTCCCCCAGCACTGCGGGCACCGTGGACAGGCCTCCAGGCCCTGCGCTGCGTGCGTGCACCCCAGGGAGGACCGCCTGGAGCCTCTGCTCCCCTCAGCTCCCTCCGGCAGCACCCCCACTGCACCCTCGCGGGCAACCACCCGCCCCCAATGCTCCACAGAGTGCCAGGCCAAGAGGCCTGGGAGGGCACCCTGCTTTGCACACTACCCCAGACTCTCCCACATCACCCTGGAAAGTCTAGAGAACCAACCAGATGTCCCACGAGACACAGGGATGGGCCAGCCCGGCCACCCACCCCGAGCCCTGCCGGGACTCCGGGAACCCGCAGCCTTCCCTGCTGGGCCGCGGGGGAACACTACCGCATCCAGCCCTGAGCAACCTCCCTGTGTGCCAGGCACAGTGGATCAGAGGTGCAAGGCCAACAGAGAGCAAAGAGTGCCCGGCACCGGCGTGCAGCCAAGGGGTGGCCAGAGAATGCGCCTGGTTCTGACAGCCACCAAACGGCAACGGCACGGGCATGGCCGCGTCGAGCCCCACGGGCGCCAAGTGGTGGAGCTTGCCATGGGCCAGTGCTGGGGGCGGGAGGCCCCAGGACACTCCCTCGCAGGGCAGAGGGGTCCCGTCTACCCAGGACGCGGAGCTGCCCGCCCGCCCACCTGAGGCACCGTGTGCAAGGGGAGAGGCGGGCAGATGCCCATGGCGGGCAGGTACTCACCCCAGTGCAGGGGCGCCAGCTGCAGCTGCTCCAGGACCAGCTGGCTGAGGGCGCCGTCCACGCTGGCCTCACCCGCTCGCTTCAGGGATGGGTGGGCTCGTCAAGGAGAGGGTGCCGCCACCCGGAGATGGGACAGCCCGGAGCCCCCTGGGTCACTCCCACCCGCCCGCGCCCACAGCCCCCCACCCCAACCCCCCGTGGATGCTCAATGCTGCCACTCCCTGGCCGGGACAGGGACCCTCATACGGCAGATGGACACAGCGGGAGAGCGAGAGAGCGAGCGTCCACCACAAGGCCGGCCGGCGCTCCTGGGCAGCCCTGGCCACCGCGGATCCCATCGTGCCAGCACGGCCTTCTCGCCGCGGAAGGATATGATGCGCCAACGCAGGCCCAACTTGCTACTGAGCTCTTGGCCCCGCGCCGCCTGCCGCTCCTCCTCCAGCCGCCTGGGGGTGGCGAGCGCCGCCCCGTCCCCGGGGGGCTCCGGCAGGTTCTCGAAGGTGAACTTATCCACTCGGATGGCCATGCTGGGCGGGAGAAGGGGGAGGAGAGAGCCTCGTCAACGCATCCACGTCCTGATCGTCCTGGACCCAGCCGGGAGCCACGGGTGGGGCCCCACGGGACGCCCCTGGAAGCACGGGCAGCAGCACGTGAGCAGGACCCTGGGGCACGGTCAGTCCAGCCCGCACATGCCGTGCACGCGTGCACGTGCACACGCACACACGCATGCACACACACATACACACGCACATGCAGACACGCACACACACCCGTCTCCTGCCCAGGCCCCTGACCCCGGGAGCCCAGAGCCCAGGCTCCCGCAGCAGGAACAAGCCCTCCCCAGAGGCGCCCCTGGAAGCTGGCCGCGCCCAGCCCTCTGGACCTCCTGGAAGTTTCTAGAAAGCGGCCGACCCTTCTGGCTTTGTTGGCCTTTTCTCGGGATGTTCTCCTGGGCCCGGGCACGGCTGGACACTGCCCAGGTCAAAGCCCTGGCAGACGCGTCCACAGTGCCCGCTGTCCGGCCGCCCCCGCCCCCGAGCTGCCCACAGTCTGGGTCCTGTGCGGTCTCTCCGTCCCCCGGGCCTGGCTCCCCGCGGCTCATGTCCTGCTTAGTTTCCCAGGTGTGGGCAGCGCCAGGCCTGCGGCAGTCTGTGCATGTCCAGGGCAGCAGCAAAGGACAAACGGACGCAGCCCCAACCAAGGCCCCCGCGCAGTCCGATTGACCGGGCACGAGGTGCTCAGGTCAGGGTGCTCCCACAGGGCCTGCGTCAGGCTGTTCACCCCACACCCCTGGGCAGGGTCAACTGAGCTGCAGCCAGGGTGGGGGCTTGGCTCCTGGGAGCACGCTGGACCCCCGACAGGGGCACAGACCAGGCGCCTGAGCCAAGCAGTGCCCACAAACTGTGGTCGGAGTTTTCCTGCCCACAGAGTGGGGGAGGCTGCCCGGGACGGTGCTCCTGGGCTGAGCACCTGCTGCCGCCTGGCTCCTCCCGGGGGCTGCCCGGGCCCCCGCATCTTCTTTCCCGCAGTGCCACAGCTCTGCTCTGCTGCCCCCGATGGCCCGAGGGGACACCGGAGCTGGCCAGACGCTCCTTGGACAAAAGGTCAAAGCATTTCCAAGTCCCACTAAAAAGGTCGGTTCCGGCCCATTGCCTGCTGGCCCAGGAGGCGCTAATCACCTTCATCTCCTGGGCGCTCAGAGCTGCTGGTCCAGACCACGGCCGGCTGGGCCCAGGCAGGGGGATGCCACACGCGGGCACTCTCAGGGGCGGAGAGGTTGGTGCTGAGGCCCGGGGGATGCATGACCCTCACGGGTGCATCCAGCCAGATGCCCCATGCTGCTGTCAGAGGGGACATGCCCTGTGCCTGCACATTCTCTTGGCCCCGCAGGCATGGCAGAGCTGACGGCCCAGCAGGGAGAGAGGCCAGCGCCTGGTCCAGCCCTCGGACTGCCAGGGCCCTGCCCACCCCACAGAGGACAAGCCCCACTGTGCGGGGGATAGCGGACACGGTCCTGGGCAGTAAGGGACTGCGGGATCCCACAGAAGGGCTCGTGGTGAGGACAGGGTGAGCATACTGGCTGCAGGGGATGAGTGACCAGGTGGGGGCCCGGTGGGCAGGACCTGCTCCCAGGACCCGAGATTCTGGGGGTGCTTACCCCCCGCCAAGGGACCGGGTCGGATATGGGGCAGGCAATGTGTCCCGGCCTACACCCTGGTGCTGGCCAGTGACTGATACCCCAGAACCCCTACCTAGCATGAACCTGAGCACTGTGCATCTGAGCCTCGGGGGGTCTGGCAGTAGGGAACTCCCCTCCCAATTCCTGCTGGTGAGTTTGAAGGCATCAATGTTCCTTCACTGCACAGCTAAGCAGGGAACCCAACCTCCAACCACCCCAGACACGGGGAGGGACCCTGAGCCCGGTCACCTGTCCCTGACCCTTCCCTGCAGTCCCCAGCACAGCCAGCTGTGTCCGGTGTCCTGGACCAGGGGGTTGTGGGGGGTGGCCAGGTGCTGCCCTCCCCCCCCGGAAGAGCCAGATTCAGCCAAGCCAGGGCCCCTGCACGCTGCGTGGGCCCGGGGAGTCCCCAGGCCGCAGGGACGTTCCACCACCCGCCCCCATGTCAGGAGGCTCAAGGGGAAGGGTCCGGCCACGGCCCTGGCACCGAAACCCACACGCCATGCTGGGGGGACGATGGCAGCCGGGGCTCAGGGAAGCCGCCAGAGGCATGCGCAGAGTGTCAGGGGGAACGCCACCCAGGAGCCGGCTGCTGTCAAGGACAGAGGGTGCTGCTTCTGTCGGTCCCTCCCGCCCGGCCTGTGCGCCCACAGACTGATTCCACCAGGTAACAGGGAGGCAGCAGGCCTGCCCGCCCCGAGCCCCAGACACAGCCAAGAGCAGGACAGGGCGAAGGTGCTGGCGGCCACCCGGCCCCGCTGCGAGAGCCCGAATCCTCTCCTCCCCTTGCCCACACCCACCCCACAGTACCACGGGTCCTCCTGGGGACCAGGATGTGACAACGGCAGCACGTCCCGCAGGAACAGCTGTTAAGTTTCTCCAAGTCACTGACTCGGCCCAGCGGAGCCTCCACCACGTGACATGGATGACGACGAGTCAGGCCTGAACTAGAATCGGCCCAAGCACTGACGTAACTGACCGGGAGAGTCCAGCGGGATAGGAATCCATTCGGGCCTGGAAACCCACTTCCATCCGGAAGTGTCATGTGTGAGGTGTGAATGCGTGTGCATGAGAATATGTGTGAGCGTGCATATGTGTAAATGCATGTGTGTTATGTACGTAGGACTGAATGCGTACGCGTGTGGCTCTGTGTGTGTGTGTGTGTGTGTGGGAGAGTGTGTTTGTGTTTGTGTGTATGTGTATGTGGGTGTGATTTGTGAGCGCACGTGAATTTGTGGACACGCCTGTGTCAGTGCCTGTGCATATGTTTGTGTGTGTGTGTGTGTGTGTGTGTGTGTGTGCAGCCCCACCCGGTGGGGGTCTCTGCAGAAGGGGGTGGGATGTTTTCCTTTTCTCTTGTGCATCTCCCGGGGCTTTCTCAGACAGGCAGGGGGTCCTTCCCTCCATGGCATTCTCCTACCGCTGCCTGGTCTGGCCTTGCCCTTCCTCCTTCCCCCTCGGTTCTGAGGCCAGGGGGTACAGGGCAGACCCCCAAACTTGCTCCCATCTCTGCACCTGACCTCTGGGAACAGCGAGCTCACATAGATCAGGGTGGCTCTGGGTTTGAGGGACGCGCCCACTGGTGCTCAGGCATTGCCCCCAGCTCTGTGCCCCATGGCTGTGCCCAGGGTGCGAGGGAGCAGGACTCGGTGCCAACGCTTGCACCGGGGTCCTGGCCTGCAAAGCCCACTGGCAGCTGGCCCCTGTGCCCTAGCAGACATCCCATGGGCACTACATCCCTCCCTTTGGGCTGCCCCTGAGGTCCTGCCGGGGCGTCTGGCCGGGTCCCACCCACCCCCACAGCCAGCACCCAGTACCGTGCCGGTCTGAATTTGAGAGGGGAAGTCCCCATGGCCCCCGAAACCGACCCCACAGTGCTCGAGGCCTGAGAAGCACTGTGGACCCTCTCCCCAGGGAGACGGGCAGGAGGAGGACGCGACACTCACCGCTGCCAGCTGCCGGCCTGCAGGACCAGCTCGTCGGCGCTGCAGGCGCTGACCGTGAGCTCCTGCTCTGTGGCGTTGTAGACGTCCAGCAGCAGGTGACACTGGCGGGTGCTGAGGAGGGAGGGCTGAGGTGAGACGGGCACAGGCCCCGAGAGAGCAGGGACCCCGCCGTGGGCCCCAGGGCCGTGCATATGGTCATAGGCCGTGGTCACGGAGGACACTCGTGGGAGCCGAGAGAGGCCCCATGGGCTGGGCTGGGGTCCCCGCACGGGCGCAAGGGCAGGCCAGCCCTCGGCAGACAGGATGGGCGCCCGGGAGGGGCAGACAGCGCTCCTGGCTCTGCCTGTCCCTGGGCTGCCGTAGGCGGTGCCAACAGTGAGGTCACCGGGCAAGTGGCCCACACCCATCCCGCCATCCATACTGACCACTCTGGATGACGGGGTGAGGCCGTGACAGCACAGCCAAATCCGGACACTCAGCCCGCACGCGGTGCCTCAGGCCAGCCTGGGCCCGTCTCTTCAGGAAACCAAGGAGCACGGACACACTGACCCTGACAGAAATGTGCACAGACACGTGTGTACACACGTGCAGACACACACACACAAGCACACCCATGCAGACACATGTGTGCACACATGCAGACACCATACACATATAGGCACCACTACACACCCCACTGGCTGCGAGTCTCAGCAGTTACGCCAAGGGTCTCGGGTCCCTGCCGGTCGCCCGAGGAGGGAAGGTGCCCTCCCGCCAAAGGAAAGGAGGCCCCGGCTGCCCTGGTACTCCAGGGCCATGAGCCGCCAGAACATTCCAGGGCACTGATATACTGAGGGGAGAGATGGGAGGGTGAGCAGAGTCCCCCAGCACTGCAGGCAGCAGCCACATACACACACACACACACACACACACACTCAGACACACACTGGATACAGACACACACTCAGACACAGTCAGATACAGACACATGCACGGACACACTCAGATACAGACACACACTCTCAGACACACTGGATACAGACACACACCCAGATACAGACACACAAACACACTCAGACACAGATACAACGCGCACATACTCAGATATTAGACACGCTCACACACACACTCAAACACAGATACAGACATGGACATACTCAGATACAGACTCGGACACACACACTCAGACACACGCAGACACAAACACAGACACAGACACAAGCAGACACAGACACACGACACTCAGATACAGACACACACAGAGGCACACTCACACACTCAGATACAGACACACACACTCCCCCACACACAGACACACAATTACAGATACACACACTCAGGCATACAATCAAGACCCAGATATAGACACAGACACACTCAGACATACGCAAACATTCACAGACACACAGAGACACACACACTCAGACAAATGCAGACACACGGACGTGTGCTCCGTCTCCACAGACAGGCAGCTCCCTGAGGCAGTTGGGGACTGGCTCACACTGTGGACACAGCACGGAGCAGGAAATGACCACCATGGCTCTGAGCCAGGCAGACGAGTGCGGGCAGGGGTCAGGTCTGGCTGACTCAGCGCCCACCTGCAAGCCCAGGGAGCTGCTCACCTCAGCACAGGGGACCCCAGGTTCCAGCTCCAGGGCCACGTCTGGCGGGGCGGGGCACCCACAGACCAGGGCGGGAGGCAGTGCAGCCCTGGCACCCCCTTCCCAGACCCAGACACGGGCTCAGCTGTGGGCACAGACACCAGGACCTTCCACCACAGCTGGCCCCTCCCGTGGCAGGTGCCCCGGCACTCACCCACCCCACCTGGTCCCACTCCCAGTGGGCTGACCCCTTCCTGGCAAGCACAGGCCAATACGGCACCGTGCAGGGTCCCAGCCTCCAGGACACCTGGCCCATCCCTCCCAGTGAGCTGTGACTCCTGCCAGCCTAGAGCTGTGTCCATGGCACCCAGGGAGTCCAGGACCAAGGCCAGCGCTGGGCCTGCTGTTCCTTGGGGCGGGCCCTCTCCAGGAAGGAGGAAGGGCACAGAGTGGGCAAGGCCTGGGGTGCAGGGCACTGCAGGTAGTGACCAGCAATCACGAAAGCTTCAGCTCGGGGCCAACAGCGCGGCCCACGGCAGGGAGGCCTCAGATACACCGGGCCCCACCCTGTGCCCTCCCGACAGCAGTGAGGGACGAGAAGCCTTGGCCCACACACATCTCCCATGCCAGGCGCCGGGGGTTCGCAGGATCAGCAGCAGCATGTGGGGCAGAAAATAAGCCCGTGACAACAGTACAGAGCCCCAAACATGCCATCCCTGGTAATACTGAAAATAAAATGAAATATTCGATAGAAAACTGAAGCAACAGCAACACACACACACACACACACACACACACAACAGTTGGAAAGTCTCGAAGGAGGCGTGTTTAAAGTGCCATGTCTTAATTGCCACTTAATGCCTCTTTTGCAAAGCACAGCACCCAAAAGGGGAGAGAGAGAACAAAAGGGAGTGACCTGCCACAGAGGCAGGGTGGGGGGGGTGTGAAGGGGTAGGAGGGAGACTGGGAGCACTGGAGGTGGAGAATGGAGGGATGGGTTATACTTGATCATTGTATAACTGAAACCCAAGCACGAAAATTTGTAAGTCTACAACTGTACCTCATGGTGTTTCACTAAGAAGAATTCAAAAAAGTAAATAAAATAAATTAAAAAAAATAAAATAAAGTGACAAATCTGCCTGCTCATCTGTAAACAAGGAGCTGACGGCGTGCTGGCGCCTCTGGGCTCCAGCCCTCGAGAGAGGGAAGGGTGGCAGCGGATGGCGTGTGGACACAGGTGCAGAGAAATGGGGCCCCCACCTGGCCATGGGGGGCTCTGGTCCTGCTCAGACCAACATGCATCTGCAAGGAGCATGCATCCCACCCTCTCTGCCCCGCCACGGGCAGGAAGCACAGGGCTGGGGGCACCCCGAGTCCCGCTCTGCTCTCAAGGACACTGCCCTGCGCCCACTCCTGAGTGCCCGCATGCGTGCCACGAGCACAGGAACTTCCAGGGACCTGGGCCCCGAAGCTCTCGCCAACTGGGAGAGGCCCCACGCCCGCACCTCACCAGCCTCCCCGCTCCCCTACCCGTCCCCAGGCCCCTCTCTCCACCCTTGGCTCCACCAAATCCCCGACAACTGCGTGGGGGCAGGGCCACGCATGGCTCCAGCCCGCACTCTGCTTTAGCTGCGAGCCGAGAAATACAGATGGACAGACAGGCCAGGACTGGGCAGAGGGACCTGGCCCATGATGGGGACGCGCCCACCAGCAGTGACCGGCACCAGTGTCCCTTGTCCCACCTGGGTTGGAGGCCGTCCATGACACTGCACTGTCTGTGGCTCCCCTAGTGACCATGCTGGTCACCTCAAGGGGGGTGGGGGTGGGGAAGGAGGCTTCTGGAATCACGGGTGAGCAAGCACGCGCTCGACTTGCACCCGGAGCCTACCCGCACCCGATCCACATGAGACATAAAACACAGCGAATGGGCCGAGAGGGAACACAGCAGGACTGAGGCCGCGCACGCAGCTTGGGATTTGGTCCTCGGCCTCATTGTTAGACCCCCAGGCCCCTCCAGGAGTGAGCCCTGAAAGCAGAGCCAAGAGTGAGCCCCAGGCACTGCCGGGTGTGGCCGGAGACTATTAAGTAAATGGACAAATGCCCAGCTCAGGAGTGCCTGGGAGGCAGCGTGGCGTGCCCCAGCCCTATCTGGGGGTGGCTGCACTGCACCCCTGCCCAGGAATAGTGGGGTTCAGTGGTGGCATCAGGGCTCGGTGCAGGGCTGTGTGAGTGCATCAGATAACAGAGGCCACGATAATGGAAGTCATGATAACAAAAGCCACAACAACAGAGGCTATGATAATGGAGGCCATGATAACAGAGGCCACAACAACAGAGGCCACAATAACGGAGGCCACGATAATGGAGGCCACAAACGGAGGCCATGATAAGAAAAACCACGATAATGGAGGCCACGACAATGAAGGCCACAACAAGGGAGGCCACTGCACACAGACTGAGTGCAGTCCTGCCCTGAGGGCTCCAAGCACTGCACCCAGGGTCTCCTGCACAGGGCTGCAGCTGGGCGGGAGGCAGGGGACGGGAGAGAGCAGCTAGGGGTCGGACAGTGGCAGGAAAGGAGACCACAGGGTACACTTGCAGTGGTCACATGGAGAGCTCTCAGGAGGGCCCCCCGTGCCCACCCTGCCCTCCTCAGGGATGCCCAGTCCAGGCCAGTGGGTGCTGAACCCAGGTCATGGGACGGGCACCCCTGGGACGGGTGACACTGTGAAGATGCTGCAAGACGAGGTGTGTGCTCAGCCGAGTCCAGGCTGGGCAGTCAGTCAGCGCGTCCCCGGAAGGGAGGCAACCCACAGGCACCTCTGACCCCACCTGTCGTCTGGCGCGCTCACCTGGTGGCCGGCAGGGTGCTGGCGCGGGTGAAGAAGACGGATGGCCCCACGTCCACGTGCAGCCCCAGGGACACGTCTCTGTAGAAGCCCTCGGCGTGGCCCGGGCCGCCCGAGTACTTGAAGTGCAGGATGGCCTCCAGGGTCTGTGGGCGAGAGGGCGCTCAGTCTCCCCGCCCGGGCTCGCCCCCCATTCCTCTGACCGTCCTCTTTCCCCTGTCCAGGCTGCCAATAAGGCCGAGGGGCCCAGAATCCAGGCCGAGTGGACGGAGACGCGACTCACCTCCTAACACTGGTGGAAGAAGGAGAGGAGGCCTGAACCCCCTCAACAGAGACACACACACAGAGACACAGAGACACCAACATAGAGACACAGAGACAGACACACAGACACAGACACACACAGAGACACACAGAGACACACAGAGACACATAGAGAAATACACACAACACAGGGATACACACACAGACACAAAGATATCACACAGAGACGCAGAGACAGTCACAGAGACACAGAGACAGACACACAGACACAGACACACAGAGACACAAAGACATCACACAGAGACACAGAGACAGTCACAGAGACACACAGAGACACCACACAGAGACACAGAGACAGACAGACACACAGACACAGGCACACACAGAGACACAGAGACAGACAGACACACAGACACAGGCACACACAGAGACACAGAGACAGACACACACAGACACACACAACACAGGCATACTCACACACAGAGACACAGAGACAGACACACAGACACACAGCACAGGGATACACACACAGACACACATAGAGAAACACATGCAGCACAGGGATATACACACACTCACACAGAGACACACTCACAATCCTACAGACACACAGAGACTCTCCCCCACACACAGTGCTCTGGCAGCCTCTGTTCCAGAAACAACCTCTGTCCCGGGAACCCCACACGGCACCGCGGGGCGCCGTGGTTCGAGAAGCAGCAGCTGGTGCTCAGAAGAGGCCCGGGGCCGCCTGCCACAGGGGAGCGGGAAGAGAGCGCGATGGGGTCTGTCCGCCTCGGGCCACAGCTGCCGTCAAAGGGAAGAACCAGCAGCAAGAAGCCTGCGCGGCTCTACCAGGTGCTGAGTTGCCCAGTGGAACCACAGGCTCGAGGCAGCAAGGGGCAGCCGGGAGCAGTCCAGACCGCACCAGGCTTCACCCGGCCATGCGAGAGGCCCATGTGAGGGGACAGAAGGAAGCGGCCTGACTTACTGTTCTGCTAGATGCACACACGTCCCCCCGCGACCCACTGCCCAGCCCCAAGAGAGCGCAGGACACATGGCTTGTCCCGAGGGATTGCAGGGATGACACGGCTCAGAACAGAGACGGGGACGCAGGGCGGGGACTGGCTGGGACTCGAGAATCTGCAGAGCGCACTCCCGTGCTAGTAACCCCACTGCTCTGAACAGCACCTACCCACGTCTCCACCCACCCACCCTCTATAGAGTCATCCACCCACCCACCTTCTATTCACCCACCCATCCATCCACCCACCCATCATCCATCCACCCATCCATCCATGCACCCATCCATCCATCCATCCACCCATCCACCCACCACCCACCCATCCATCCACCCATCCACCCACCACCCACCCATCCATCCACCCACCCATCCACACACCCGCCCAACCATCCATCCACTCACCCACACATCCATCCATCCATCCACCCATCCATCCACCCATTCATCCATCCACCCAACCACCCATCCATCCATCCATCCACCCATCCATCCATGCACCCACCCATCCATCTATCCACTCACCCACACATCCATCCATCCATCCATCCACCCACCCATCCACACACCCACCCAACCATCCATCCACTCACCCACACATCCATCCATCCATCCACCCACCCATCCACCCATTCATCCATCCACCCAACCACCCATCCATCCAACCACCCATCCATCCATCCACCCATCCATCCATGCACCCATCCATCCATCTATCCACTCACCCACACATCCATCCATCCATCCATCCACCCACCCATCCACACACCCGCCCAACCATCCATCCACTCACCCACACATCCATCCATCCACCCACCCATCCACCCATTCATCCATCCGCCCAACCACCCATCCATCCAACCACCCATCCATCCATCCACCCATCCATCCACCCACCCACCTCCCCATCCACCCACCACCCACCCATCCATCCACCCATCCACCCACCACCCACCCATCCATCCACCCATCCACCCACCACCCACCCATCCATCCACCCACCCATCCACACACCCGCCCAACCATCCATCCACTCACCCATCCATCCATCCATCCATCCACCCATCCATCCACCCATTCATCCATCCACCCAACCACCCATCCATCCATCCATCCACCCATCCATCCATCCATCCACCCATCCATCCATGCACCCATCCATCCATCCACCCACCCATCCACACACCCACCCATCCATCCATCCACTCACCCACACATCCATCCATCCATCCACCCATCCATCCATGCACCCATCCATCCATCCACCCACCCATCCACACACCCACCCATCCATCCATCCACTCACCCACACATCCATCCATCCACCCACCCAACCACCCATCCATCCACCCACCCACCATCCATCCACCCACCTCCCCACCCACCCACCCACCAACCTTATCCACCCAAACATCCCACCCACTCATCCGACATTCACTTACCCACCGATCCATCCACTCATCCAACTGTTCACCTACCCAAACACCCATCCATCCACCCCTTGCCCTCCGCACACCCCCACCCGCCCCCTGAGCCTCCCCTGTGCGGGCACACTCGCTCGCAGCGGTGAGTGAGCAGCCGGCACGAGGGAAGGTCTGGAGCAGAAGACAAGGGCCTGGCCTGGGGAGGTCACGCTGAGTCCCCATCGCCCAGACACCATCATGCACGTCCCGGAGACAAATGTGGGAACCAGAGAGGAGAGAGCCCGGGGAGCGGGGCAGGAAGGGGCAGGAAGGGGAAGGAACGCAGCACACACAGCAACGGCCCGACTAGGAGGCAGGCACCGGGGTGGGTGGGCCGGGCGCAGGGACGCAGGTGCCCAAAACTCGCTTAGGAATGTGTAAGTCACAGGACCTGATGCAAAAGTAGATTTTTTTAAAGAAAGCAGACAAATATCAGAAAAAAAAGAAAACTCAGTTAGGCTAAACCTGCATGCATTGGAGTATCTCTAAAAGTAACCATCCTTTGTGCTAAGGAAAAAGAAGAGAAACTAATTACCACCACCCAGAACAAAAATGAGCCTCAATACAGATCCCACACGTAGTAAAGGGATAAAAACGGAACCGCGAGCAATACGGTGCCGACAAAGTCAGCGACACCAACGGACAGACTCCACAGAGCCCAGCGGGGCTCTCTGGCCAGCCGAGGCCACTGCACGCAGCCAACGTTCGATTCAAGTGCTCCTGAGAGGAGCCCCGGCTCGGGCAACCCCATGTGGACAGACGCAGGCAGGTCTGGAAAGTGCAAGAGGAAGCGGACCGGTCTGGCCAGATGCCAGTCCACAAGACAGGACCCCACATCCCTGGGTCTAGACGCCAAAATGCTCCCCAAAATACGGCTGGATCTAACTCCCCGCCAAGGTCAGGAGCTGACCCGAAGTGGTCGGGCTGTTTCCGCTGGACGTTCAGACTCTGCATGGATTGTCAAAGGGAAAAAGGAAGGGGGGGGGCCCTCCAACCCATCAACACGCAGCAGACGAAGCCCAAAACCCATCCGAGTTTTTAGAAGACGTCAGAAGAACTGGGCACAGAATGGGACATTCTCGACTCAAAGACACACAGCTGACATCTCCGACGAGAGGGGCGCCCAGCTCTGCCCCTAAACCATGGAACTGGGCGGGAGCACTGCAGAGGTGATTTCCATCATTACTGAGCTCGACATCCTAGCAAATTCCGTAACTCAGAAAAAGATAATTACAGGCACACTTAGTGAAAAGGAGGAAATAACACGGTCCAAACATTCACGAACGCCCCGACACCTCGTGAGCCGAAGCGAACGCGCAGAAACGCTGCTGATCCTACAGGAAAGCACGGCCATGTAGGAAAGAACCGAACAGTTCCTTGTCACCTCAAACCCGCCATTCACGTACCGCTGAGCACGAACACATGCGCCAAGTAAATCAAAGCGGGGGCTGAGGAGACAGGACAAGGGCAAGGCACTGCCCTGCACAGAGCTGGCCTGGTGCCATGTCCACGCGGCTCCCTACAGCGCAGGAGTGACCAGGAGGGAGGAGGGGAGGGAGGGAGGAAGGAAGGAGGGGGGGAGGGAGGGAGGAAGGAAGGGAAGGAGGGAAAGGAGGAAGAGAGGAAAAGAGGAGGGAGGGAAGGAGGAAGGGGAAAAGGAAGGGACGGGGGGAAGGAAGGAAGAAAGGAAGGGAGGAAGGACGGTGGGAGGGAGGGAGGGAAGGAGGAAGGGAAGGAAAGGAAAGAAAGAAAGGAAGGAAGAGAGGGAGGGAAGGAAGGAGGGAGGGAGGGAGAGAGGGAGGGAGGGAGGGAGGGAGGGGGAGGGAAGGAAGGAAGAAAGGAAGGAAGGAAAAAAGGAAGGAAGGAAAGAAGGAAGGAAGGAAGGAAAAAAGGAAGGAAGGAAGGAAGGAAGGAAAAAAGGAAAGAAGGAAAAAAGGAAGGAAGGAAGGAAGGAAGGAAGGAAAAAAGGAAGGAAGGAAGGAAGGAAGGAAAAAAGGAAAGAAGGAAAAAAGGAAGGAAGGAAGGAAGGAAGGAAGGAAAAAAGGAAAGAAGGAAAAAAGGAAGGAAGGAAGGAAGGAAGGAAAAAAGGAAGGAAGGAAGGAAGGAAGGAAGGAAAAAGGAAAGAAGGAAAAAAGGAAGGAAGGAAGGAAAAAAGGAAGGAAGGAAAAAGGAAGGAAGGAAGAAAAGAAGGAAGGAAGGAAGGAAGGAAGGAAGGAAGGAAGGAAGGAAGGAAGGAAGGAAGAGGGAGGGAGGAAGGGAGGGGCAGGCGGTCAGCCATGAGGCAGGCCGGGTGTCTGTGAGAAGTTGCTCCTGAAGAGCGTCCGACAGGAGGAGCAGGGCCCAGGGCGGCGAGCTCTGTGTGGGTGTCCCAGCTCCAGCCTGGCCAGGCTCGTCGGAGAGT